TGAAGAAACTCAACCAAGAAATTTGCTAGTGCCTCTGAAAGGGGAGCTCTGGGTCCCAGAAGTAACTCAAGGTGCTCCCTCTTCAAACACAACCTCTCCAAATTAGTTTTAGATAAGGTAGCACAGCCCTAGCTAATGACTGATAACAGTAGTAGTCCTAGAGCTGCCCAGTAGGACAGAGATGGCCAAACAGAGAGTCTGACAGAAGCACAGTTCACCTGGCAGGGCCTCTTGGAAAGGGGGCAGGTCAAAGACCACAAAACATTTAAAGGTTTGGCGTCACACCAAAACTGTACATCTAGAGGTCAGGGTAGGAGAAAAGAGGGCAGTTTGGTTTTGGCTGGATCACTGACTGGCTCATGAGCTGCCAAGTATGACTTAATTTCAAGGCTGGGGGTGATGGCAAGGCTTCCATTCAGGACTTTCCATAACAGTGTATTTGATCCTTGGTTAAGCTTCAATACAGGAAGATTCATGGCAGCCAAGGAAAAAGGAAAGCAGAATCAGGGGATACATGGCAATTGGCAAGGTTAAATAAGAAATAGCTTTCATTTCAAGACAGCATGGAAAGAATACACTAGATCATTTTTTTAAAATAACATTCAACTCATTGATTGCTTAATTCATTTCTTTTGAAACTGATTTAAAACAGTGGTTGCTGAATAGATTTATGGAGTGACACCAGGTGGCATGAAAACAGAAATAGAAAATACTATCTCTTGTAATCATATAACATTTGTTTCAATTTAATGTAAGCATATGTATGGATTTGAAGTGTTTACTATAACCCTCATGAGAATCATTATCAAAATCTTAAAAAAAATAATTAAGTAAAATATCCTTAAGAGAAATTGGACATATTACTGATCCAACAATTTTAAGTACAGGTTTCACTGATTCACTATAACACATTCAATGAACTGTGCATATTTAACATGAATAATTTGATGCGTATTCACATGTGTCTATAATAAAATAATATTTAAAAGATATTTATTAAAATAATATAAGCTGGTTGGTGAAATGCCAGATTCTCTGACTGGGGTCTAAGTATCTTAAGGGCAGAAATCCTCTCTCAACTCATATGTCTCCATCACACATAATATAGAATATTTTCAAGAAATGTTCTCTGACTGGAGAATTACATCTAGCAATGAATAGAATCCACCTCACCCATGTATTCAGACACAAAGAAGTGCTGTCCGGAGAACTGGGTGTATACATAATCATCATCATCAAATAAACTCCAGATACGTTAAGGATGGAATGGTTACCAGCAGCATGCTGTGTCAGGAGAGTCATCTCAGTTTCATGTCCCTCTTTCCCCCAGCATTTACCTAGGGCTAGAAGACTGAGTCTCAATGAAGGGAAGTGAGAAATGTGATATGTACTCCTTCTAAGCCACTCAGCTACCATAAACAAGTGTTTTATCTTCAACATGGGTATAGAAATGCTGAATGATTCGGAAAGTTCCAGTTAGAAGAGCTTCTATAATCTCGGATCCACACGGGTGTCACTCTATCTCCCAGCTAGAATTTAAGTACTGAAAAATAAACTTCTGTCTGTTAAGTCACTGAAGTTTGGATTTTGTCATTAGAGAAAAGTTAGTAAACATGTCCTGAAGTTACATACAACCCTTTCTTTAAAAGTAGGGTCTTTTGGGGTCCTCCCTGGTGGAGCAGTGGGTTAAAGCACAGAACTAAGAAGCTAAAGCCACTTCAGCATGAGTTGGATCCCCAGCCCTGGAGGTGACCCACATGGTGCAGCAGACCTCTCCTGACCCACCCTCTGCTCCCCTCATCAGTGTACTTTGTCAGTCGGCTGTTCTGCTCCCTACTTTGTCTCTGGTGAATCCTCTCACCGCCCATGCACCTCTGGCTTGTACCCTATCTCCGTATGCATAAATAAATAAATGTTAAAAAAAAATAGGGTCTTTTGGAAGACATTTACTTGGGTGTTTTCTATGACTGTTCTTCCATATTGCTTTTCTATGGTAGAATGTATACTTATGATGAGGGTAAAATGGTCAAAAAACAGAAAATATTTACCTTTTACCTGGCACTTATACAAAAAGTGTGATGCTCCTTTTTAGTTAGGGAAACTAGCATTACCTTACTTAAAGGAACACTAAGATTAGAACAGGAAGACAGCACAGACATATATATATATATGTATATATATACTATATATATATATATATATATATATATAGTAAGGGCTGGAAACCCTCTCTTAGTTAAAGGAAAATAACTCTTCTGTCTCATTCCCTGTCTGTTATCTGTACTCTTCTGCTACAACTTTAACTGGTTAATTCTTTTATCCTTCAGGTTTTTACTTCATCATTACTTTCTCAGGACTGAATTGTGTATGCTCCCTAAAAATCTATACCTGTGTGATTCCATTATTCTGCTATAATATTTTTCATCAAAGTCAATATTGAGCAAATTAAGTCATTCAACACCATTTTAACAATACATATAACTCTGATACACTGGAAAATCTTTATTGGGAGGTCTATCCTCTCACCACCTCTGACACAGGTTTGATTGGCCTCTTTTCATCCACCCTGAAATGATGCCACCTGCAAGGGCTGTCTTGCACTCTTTCCTGCTATCCTCCGACATCACATCTCACCTAGGATCACACTGCAGAATTACCACAGGATATTTTGCAAACCACATGTACTGAGTCTGTCTCTGCTAACTTGATGGTCCACAGAAGGATGAGCACTTCAATTTTAATATAACTCCTTCAAGACTGAAGGGCATCACTTCAGCATAAAATTTCTAGTGTTCTTAGAGCAAACTGGGACTTGATATGAATGGAGATTCCTGAGATAGGCTGACCTACACCTTCTTAAAATGAAATACTTTTAACAGAACCCAAGAATCATTTAAACTCATAATATGCAAATTATGCTTAATTATAAATATATTACCATGGCACACAACAGTGTCCCAGCCCTCCTTTTAAAAATTTCATTCTCTTGTTTTTGCCAGTGTCTCATTAAGTCCCTAATCTTTATTTAGCATTTTCAAAGTTGCATGATGGGCAAATTCTTTAGTTTTAAAAATAAAAGAATTTCTCAGTCTAGAGTCTTACTTACCAATACAATCTATTAATGCTACACATATTCAAAGAAAATGTTTTGTTCAGATGTGTTCTTTTTTAAAATTCAGAAATTGTTCCATTTATTTTTTTAAGACCAAGTGAGAAACATACTGGGAGTAACCAAAGTTTTACTGAGGAGGACTGGATAAGGGCGGTAATAAATTGGGCCTTGCATCCAGGATGGGACTAGTTGAAGGTGATAATGAGCTGGGCCTCACATCAAGGACACAGCTATGAGTCACCCCTTTGAAATCTGAGCTTATATAAAAGACCCTTCCCCCTTATTGAGTTGGCAGTAGCTGCAGACCCCACCCTAGGGAGTCCCTCTCAGCTGCTGCCTGGGAGCAATAAACTCTACTTGCTCAGCCTTTCTGCCTCCCGTCTTTCTTTCTTGCAGCAGGTCACAGAAGCTGGAACAAAACACATATCATTAAGAGTTTACTTTTAATGACCAGTAATTGGTACCTTGGATAGGTAATAATTGCTCAAACAGATCTGATGAATGTGTGCAATAATCAAAGGAATTACTCCCATTTGCTAGAAATTATTATTTTATTATTATTTTTAGATTTATTTATTTGTACATACAGAACTGGGGTACAGGCCAGAGGCTCGGGGCGGTGAGAAGCTTCACCAGAGACAGAGTGGGGAGCAGAACAGGCAGATCTACGAAGTACATTGCTGAGGGGAGCAGCGGGTGGGTCAGGAGAGGTCTGCCACACCATGTGGTCACCTCCGGGACAGGTGGGAATCGAACTCATGAGGAAGTGGCTTTAGCTTCTCAGTGCAGTGCTTTAACCCGCTGTGCCACCAGGGAGGGCCTAGAAATAATTTTTTATGTGTGATAGTTCATTTGCTTATTTGGCTGCTTGATTTCTACTGCATGGGGTAAACATACTCAGTTTATAAAATTCCATTACTTGTATGCCTTGGAGTGTAGTAGCTGTGTTTATAACTACCATTTCTTCTCTGCTTCTTTTTCTTTCTTCTTTCCTACCTCCTTTGTTTTCTGACTTTTTCTCTCCTCCTGCTATCTTTCCTTCTTCTCATATTCCCTTCCAGTACATATCAAGGTGCAATTTTGTAAATTACCTGAGAGATATGGGAAAATGACAGAAGGATGAAAAAGGTGGACAAATATGAAGAAAATAAGTAAAACAAAGCTTCTTACAAGTCCTTAACAATGTCAAAATCAGGGCCCTCCCTGGTGGCGCAGCGGGTTAAAGCACAGCATTGAGAAGCTAAAGCCACTTCCGCATGAGTTTCATTCCTGCCTGCCCCGGAGGCGACCACATGGCGCGGCAGACCTCTCCTGGCCCGCCGGCTGCTCCCCTCAGCAGTGTACTTCGTCGATCTGCCTGTTCTGCTCCCCACTCT